ATGGAATGAAGGGCATATTAAGCAAGTAGGGCACAGAAAGACAAATATTGTATGTCCTCACATCTGGAAATGAAAAAAAATTTGATTTCAAGCCAGTTTTTGTGGGGTATATTTGTAACCCCAGTGACTGGGAAGACGGAGGCTGGAAGACAAAAGATTAAGATCAGCCTGGCAATCYTGCAGGACCCTGTCTTTAAAAAATAAATTAACTAATTAAAACACTTTTTAAAAATTAAAAAGGAGGGCATATAGAGCTGTGGTAGAACAACCCTGGGTTTAATTCCTGGTACTGTAAAAAGAAAAGAGCTGATTTCATAATAAAGAGTAGAATAGTGGTAATCAGAGACTGGGGAGGTTGAGGACAGGAGGTAGAGAGAGGGCTATTGGGTAAAGGTGCTGTTGGTTAGGAGGAATAATTTCTAATGTTCTATAGACCAGTAGAGTCATTATGGTTGACAATAGTTGATTGTATATTTCAAAACTGCTAGTAGAGAAGAATTTTAATATCCCCAACACAAAGAAATAATAAATGTTTGAGGTGATGGCTATACCAATTACCCTGGTCTGATCACTGCAGTTTGAATACATTTACTTAAATCACACTGTACTCCATAAAGATATGCAACTGTTACGTGCCATTTAAAAATAAACATTTAGGGGCCCAGTTTGTGGCTCAGTGCCAGAGTGCTTGCCTAGCATGTGTGAGGCACTGGGTTCGATCCCCGGCACCCCATTAAAATGAAAAAAAAAAACAAATAAAATAAAGGTATCCTTCTATAACTAATATTTTAAAAAATAATATTAAAAAAATAAGAAATGGATGCAATCACTACATCTCAAGTGGAACTCACTGTAAGTAAAATTATAGATATAGGGATATTTCAGACAACTAAAACAGGAACTATTGCTGAGACCCATAAAAACTATGACATGGAGCTGGAAAGTTGCTGAGMAGTAATGCAGCTTTGCATTCAGGCTATTTCAGAAATCTATCACTTCAATAATGCTGTGTAACAAACCACTCCAAAACTCAATGACTCAAAACAATAAGTATTTAGTTCTTGCTCACCGGTGTACAGGTTGGCAACTCAGCTAGGTTAGGCTGGACTCCTGATTGCAGGCTATAGAATGGGTTTAGTTTTGCTCCATGTTTCTCATCTTCCATGGACCAATTGCTACCCAGGTCATACTCTTCTTACAATGAATGACAGGAACATTAGAGGTAAAATTACACAAGCACATTAGAGMACTCTACTTTCAGCTCTAAAAAAATTAGCATTCTACTGACCAAAGCAACTTGGCCCAGCTCAAAGTCACGGGACAGGAAAATACACTCCATACATTAATAAGCCATGGCAAGGACAGATGCACAGAGATAACTTTGAGAATAATGATCCAATCTGCTATAGGCTGCATGACCTCTTTTGTTTACCCCTCTATGCAGACCCATTTCTTCCTCTACTCCTCTTACACATCAATTTAGAATGCAAGCCCCATTAGGCCAAGATTTTTGTCTTCTTTGTCCACAGCAGTATTTCCTCTATGCATATTTTATTTCATTCATTGTTGTCTTCCTGGAAAGTTGCTGAGCAGTAATGCAGTGCTCGAATGATCCAAATAATGCCTATAATATAGCAGTCAATAAATGACTGCCCCACAGAGTGCCCTCACCCTTGTAAGTTATATATGATCTTCAGGAGTTATCTCCTGAGTCAACCTGATTTGCCCAGCTTGACTCAGAAATAAATCTCTTGTTCAACCACACACTGAAAACAAGGAAGAATGTAGGTATATTAAGGGCAACTCTTCAAGAAGTAGACAGAATAAGCAGATGTTCCAGCTGCATATTCCACATGATATATATGAACACTTACTTTTTTTTTTCCTTTGGGTGGGGGAAGCAATAACTGGGATTGAACACAAAGGCACTTTACCATCGAGCTATAACCCAGACCTTCTTTTTTTTTTTTTTTTGAGACAGGGTCTTGCTAAGTTATTGAGACTGGCCTTGAACTCATGCTCCTCCTGACTCAGACTCCTGAGTCACTTGGATTACAGGGGTGCAGTACTGCAGTCTATGATATGTAAACATTTTCATGATCTGGTCCGTGTCAACCTACAGGATGCAAGTATAGTACAGTGGTTCACAAGACAAGCCCTAGGGCCAGGCAAGCCTAGATTCAAACTGTGGGTCAGCTACTTACAACTTATGTAACTTTGGAGAAGTTACTTAACATTCTGAATCTTCATTTTCCCATTTCTATAAATTACCATTTCCATAAATGGTAGCAGTCATCTTCTAGAATTATTGTAGAATTAAATAACCTACGTAAAGATCGTTATAGACTATCAGGCAAATAGTAAACTCCACACAAGCGTTGGTCATTTCTACTGGGAAAATTAAGTCTGGTGTCTTATCACAACCTTAGGTAAATTATGTTTCAATTTAATTCCAACTTGATTATATTAGAGATGCACACACATAGCCAAGCCATAGCTAATCAAAAAAGCACAGATGATGTATACATCCTCTCATCCAGGTATAATTCCAACTTAACATGGTCCTTTTTCAGAATTATGTTCCTTATGAGGGCCCTAAAGTAGGAAAAATTAGAGTAAAATGAAAATGATTACTCTATGGTGCTGCTAAATTATAGAAGTTTGCAGGCATGAACGTCCAGGGAAATATATAGCTCTGAAGAAAATATAGTTACATGGGCACAATAATCATGGAATAAGGAATAGTCTAATATTCCAAAATCTTTGGCTAGGAAACTAACTAGAAACTCAGGGATGCTTCTTTATCTTTTTATCTTTTTGTATTCTTTAATTTTTTTCTGTAGTTGTAGATGAATAACACACTTTTATGGTATTTATTTTTATGATACTAAGGATAGAACCCAGTGCCTCACAGGTGCTAGGCAAGTGCTCTGCCACTATAGCCTCAGCCCTTTAGCTTTTATCTTACAGATGCTGCCTGAGTTGTTAAACAATGTATTTAAGCAAATTTGATTTTATGAAAATTAACCTAAGGTCCACCATCAAATTTTAACAATGCAGACTCTGCATTCTATACGGAAATACRAAGCAGATTGATGAACAAATATAAGGTGAGAGCAGAAAGCTGGCAGCATCCACCACAAGGTGTCCTCCTCTTTCCACTCTTTTAGTCTTGCTTGGTTTCCKGTGGTTGTTGCTCTGGGCCTAGGCCAGCCCTAAGGACAACATTTAACCACTCTTGTAGGTCTGACTAGCCCAAAGAATAAGTATTGGACATAGGTCATCTCTTTAAAAACTTCCATCTCTCTCTCTATGATTCTGCTTCTTTTGTTTACTACTCTACTAGCAGACTACAGTGGCTCAGGGTAGAGTGCTCACCTAGCATATGTGAGGCACTGGGTTCGATTCTCAACATCACATGAAATAAGTAAGTGAATAAATAAATAAATAAAGCTATTGTGTCCAACTACAACTAATATATATATATATATATATATATATTAAAAAATTAATAAGAGATTCTGTTAGTAAAAGGATACCAGTAGGTCGGATGCAGTGGCACATGCCTGTAATCTCAGCCACCCAGGAGACTAAGGCAGGAGGATTGCAAGTTCAAAGCCAGACTCAGTAAGGGCGAGGCACTAAGCAACTCAGTGAGACCCTGTCTCTAAATAAAATACTAAAAAGGGCTAGGGATATGGCTTAGTTGTTGAGTGCCCCTGAGTTTAATCCCCAATAACCTCCTGCCCCAAAAGTATAACACTATGGCACTAAAACATATGTGACATCAACAATGAGATAAAGATAATAATTCTTACATACTTGGTTATATACTGATAACCCTTTCTATCAAGTATTTGTGTTGGTTTCAACTGTTTTGCATTCAGAAATATTTAATATTATAATAGTTTGATTCTTATGTGAATAAGCACTATTCATAATTAAACTCAGGCTTAAAATCATGTGATTTGTTTTTTAAAAACTTTAATAGAAAATCTCAACCATACAAAAATAGAGGAAACAGCAGTGTAACAGACCCCCATGTAATCATCACCCAGCTACAGCAATTCCAATTCATAGCCAATCTTATTTTATTTCACTTATCCCACCTTCCTTCCCCTTACCCCTATTTTGAAGACTATTTTGAAGCAAATCCAAGACATCATACCATTTCATTGTACATACATGACTGTTCATAATGGTTCTTGGATTAGATCTCACACTAGTAATAAAAAGAAAAATTTCGGAATGGATCTCAAGAGTGATTCTTACTTATTTTTCCTTCCTTAAAACTTCTACCAAGAATAGAGAAAAGATTAAAATTGCAAAGTGGTAAAAGATATGTTCATATAGAATACATTAACCCTAAATTAAAGAAATCTATTCCTTGAAAAAAATAGGATATTGATAAGATTATAAAGAATACTCGTTAAAACAGGCAAGATAATCTATAATCTCAGCATTCCTTTTCTTTAATTTACTCAAACACAGCTCTACACCATCACTATAGCTCAATCCTGTACAACAGAAAGTGATGTTCACTTAAGACTTAATGATTTACTTCAGAGGTTGTTCCTTAATGTCTACAGTTGGTTTCTGCATGCACATCATTAAAAAAAGTTTATGTGTATGTGTGTGTTCACATGTAAAAGTATATACGTTGAGAGGTGCCTTTTAAACTTTTCCTCACTTAAAATGCCAGAGTTATCAAGGTGAGTAATTCAAAAGGCAACAGGAAATTAAAGACAGTTGGAAAAGCTCTTCACCTAGAATGATGGATCAGCCAAAAAAACGAAGAGTTTAATAATATCCTATTAACTGAAAGGGACAAAATATCTTCTAAAAAGGCAGGAGAATATGTCTTCTTTTTTATTTTTTATTTTTGTTGTAGGTGGACAAAATATCTTTATTTTTATTTATTTATTTTTATGTGGTGCTGAGGATCAAACCCAGTGCCTCACGTGTGTGAGGCAACTCTCTACCACTGAGCTTCAACCACAGCCCTGGAGAATATGTCTTTTTTAAAAAATGATTTAAATACTTTGAAAATCTAATTCAAATTTAATTAGAAACAATGACACCACATATAATATAGGCTAACTCAAGTTCCTCTCAATTTTTTCCCTCTCCTCCTACAAAAAAGTGTAGGGAAAGAGTGAGTTTCAATTTTATTTGTACATGTACTTTCAAATATCATATTTATGTTCTGGAGAAGCATCATTCAAAATACCACTGCAACTGAATCAAATATAGAACATTGTAGTGAACTCTTCAGATCATGTAACATTTTAAAAGTTTATACTGAACTATTTATTATAATTTACAGATTTAAGAAATATTCAAATGTATCAAAATACTACAAAAGTATGTAGCAGCCTATAATGTTATAATAGAAAGAAGTAATAAAGAAAATAGGTCAGGTCCAAAGTAAAAGAAAATTCTTACCAACCCCTCAAATATTCTCAAAAGAACCTCAATAGTAAGTTTGTATTTTTGTTCTCTTCAACTAAAGATAAATAACTCATAAGCAATATTAAAAATAGAGGGAGGTGAAGTTCAGATTTTAATGCCAAATAATTGAGGTAAGTCTAGAGAGGAAGAAGGGCACAACACTAGGCAATTGTGTCTAGTATCAGTTTTATCTAATATTTCCTTTATGTCAATTTCAACTATTTAAAAAATCAAGTTTATTTCTTGGACAGAAGRAATTCCAACTCATTTTTCAAGCCTGATCCTTCAAAGTTGGGAAGCTTTCCTGCAGGTCATCAGCAAGGACATTATCGACTTCATGTAAGATTTTAATGAAGTCCTCCACCTGGGAGTCAAACAAAAGAATCAAATAAATATAGTGAGAAAAACGGTGATTGAAGATATTCTGACTACAAACTACCTATGGTTTTCTAAATAGTTCAACAGACAGATATGTTGATAAATTTCCAGATGATATCACGGTCCCCCAAATCATCATGAAGGAAGTGACTATACCTAACTTTTTTATTTATTTATATTTTAATTTTTGAGCTACTACTTATCCTCCTGCTGATTCCCCTTTAAGGGTCATTATTATGTTCGGGCGCAGTGTTGTACACCTGTAAATCTAACACCTCAGGAGGTTGACCCAGGAGAATTCCAAGTTCAAGATCAGAATCAGCAATTTAGTGAGGCCCAAAGCAATTTAGTGAGACCCTGTCTCAGAATAAAAAATAAAAAAGGACTGGGGATGTGGCTCAGTAGTGCCTCTGGGTTCAATCCCTGGTACCAAAAAAAAAAAAAAAAAAGTCCATTACTATAGTTTATTAATATTTTCCTTTTCAACATGTTTCTGCATGCCTTCCTTTTGTACTTATTTTCCTATAAAATTTTCTATTTAGAAACTGCCTCCGATGGTAGCAAATGTGTTATTTGAAGAACATAAAAACAGCTGGGCACAGTGGTACACACCTGTAATCCCAGCTGAATGTACTTGTAGGGGATACCAACACAAAATTCTCACATAAAAATCAAGCTCGGGAGGCTCAGGCAGGAGTATCTCGAGTTCAAAGCCAGCCTCAGCAAAAGCAAGGAACTAAGCAACTCAGAGAGACCCTGTCTCTAAATAAAATACAAAAGAGAGTTGGGAATGTGGCTCACTGGTTGAGTGCCCCAGGGTTCAATCCCTAGTATTCCCCCCACCCCCCAAAATACCAACTCTTCATAAGAATCTTACTTTTGCTTAATACCTTTGCTTTCTACTTTATAACAGAAAGGGACAGCATAAATTCCATATTGATTTCTTCCTAAAATCACAATTACACTTAGGCCAGTACTATGAATTAGCCAGTAGCCATCTTTCTGACAGGGCATTAAATCATGTGATGTGTACCATCTTTTTTGACAATGGCCTTGAAAGATCAAGTCCTTCTTGAGAACATTTAGTAATCCTGTGAAATACAGACCCCTATACTTTTACCCATACTCACCACAGGACTATAAAAAGGAAGGAGGTTTTGAAATGCAGAGGAACATTTCTGTTTGCTTAACTGGCCCTCCTTTAGCCCCTGAGCCACAGTCTCCTAAAATAAACAAAAGATTTACTATCAAGAAATGAAAAATTCTAAAACTTTATTTACTAAAAAAAAATACAAATCAGTATATATAATTACTTACTGATCCTATGGTCATTTCAAATGTTGCAAACTGAACCTAGCTTCATCAAAAGTTTTACATAACCCAAACACATCTCCACTGTGGTCCTTATTTTAATGGCGGGTACTACCATCCACCCTACTGCACAAACCAAAAACCTAGGTACATCCAGGACTTCTCCTTCTGTCCGGCTACTAATTCCCCCCCTAGAAGTGTTCAATTCTACTCTGCTAAACCTTACCCCATCACTCCTCTCCATTCACACTTCACTGTTTAGGCTCTCATGATTTTTCAAATTATTATTATTATTATTATTATTATTATTTTGTACTAAGGATTGAATTCAGGAGCACTTAACCACTGAGCCACATCCCCAGCCCTATTTTGTATTTTATTTGGAGACAGGGTCTCACTGTTGCTAAGCACCTCGCCATTGCTGAGGCTGGCTTTGGACCCGCAACCTTCCTTGTCTCAGCCTCCCGGACTGCTGGGATTACAGGCATGCACCATGGAGCCTGGCCAGAATATTCTTGAAGATTATCAACCTTAAGAGCCCATCAGTTGGTCTCCTGGCCTCCAGCCTCAACTCTCGAATTCTTCCTCTCTATTGCTTTTGGAGGTATCCTTCTAAATTGATCATATCACTTGATGCTTAAAAAAGACTTTAGCAAGGGCTGAGGTTGTAGCTCAGTGGTAAAGTACTTGCCTAGCATGTGTGAGGCACTGGATTTGATTTTCAGCACCACACATAAATAAATGAATAAAATAAAAATAACATGCATGAAACCCTGGGTTCAATCCCAGCACCGCAAAAAAGCAGCAATAAAGTTCACAGCATTACGCAAACCATACTTTCATTTGCTGAAAAAAAAAAAAAAAGTTAGGCACAGTGGTGCATGCCTATAATCCCAGTGGCTCAAGATGCTGAGGCTAGGAGTATCACAAGGTCAAAGTCAGCCTCAGCAACTTAATGAGGCCCTAAACAACTCAGTGAGACCCTGTCTCTAATAAAATATAAAAAGGGGCTAGGGATGTGGCTCAGTGGTTAAGCACCCCTGGGCTCAATCCCTGGTACCAAAAAAACCATGAATACTTCTTTCCTACCTTTGTTAATGCCTGAAAAATATTAGAAAGAAATTCACATGAAATATCCTTTAAGATTTTCAAGTGGAAATCATCTTGGGTTGGATCAGACTTTTTATTTTCTTCTTGGTTAGACTCTGCAGAGTTCTCTAGTTTCTTCTGACAATCTTCCACATTTTGTAACACCCGAATTAGACTGTCAATCAGAGGAAGATCTACTGTACAAACAAATAAAGAGACATGAAATTAGCCAGTTTGTTTTTTTTTACTCATTAAGTCATACATTCATACTGAACTACAGATACAGTAGTAAATAAGATTGCTAAGGCATCAGCTTTCGAGAGGCTTATGTCTACATACCTTCACATAAGTAAATAAATAAAATAGATCATTTCATGTTATGGTAAATTTTTTTATTTTATTTATTTATTTATTTATTTTTTAAAGAGAGGAGAGAGAGAGAGAGAGAGAGAGAGAGAGAGAGAGAGAGAGAGAAAATTTATTTATTTATCTATTTTTAGTTTTTCGCGGACACAACATCTTTGTTGGTATGTGGTGCTGAGAATCGAACCCGGGCCGCACGCACGCCAGGCGAGCGTGCTACCGCTTGAGCCACATCCCCAGCCCCAGGTTATGGTAAATTTTATGAAGGAAACAAAAGGGAAATATAATAAAGCAGCTCAACAGGGGAACTTCTCTGAAGAGTTGATACTGAGTTGGAGAACTAAAGGATAAGAAATGTTAGCAATGCAGAAAGCCCAGCAAAATATCTCAGAGGAACAGAGCAAAGACCCCAAAAGGAAAATATCAGGAAAGTCTGAAAAGCAAAATGGAAGCCAGTATGACTCTGGGCTAGTGAGCAAGGGAAGAGTAGCACAGAAAGAGGTGAGAGAGATAGGAAAAAGCCCTACAACGCAGGGTCTTTGAGGACACAGTGACAAAAGAATATTAAGTTTAAGTTTTAACATCATAAAAATCTTAGACAAAGCTCTTAAATGCTAAATTTTATTAAATGAGGCAGAAAAATTCAGTCTAATTTTTAAAGACTGAATAGTCATTTTAATTAGAGTACAAAAAAAATGAATATAAAAATAAAGCTCATATTTAGGGGCTGGAGTTGTAGCTCAGTGGTAAAGCACTTGCCTCACAAAGTGTGAGGCACTGGGTTCAATCCTAGCACCACATTAAAAAAAAAAAAAAAACAAATAAAGCTCATATTCAAAATATATATTGTACCATCAACATGCTAAGAGATCTCATGCAGATTCAAACACTGATTCAATTTCACCATTTCTGCTTAATAATTATAACTGGGGGAAAAAAAGAAAGTTTTCTACAGCACTGAAATATCAAGTATACTAATTTGAAAAAAATCTAATTTCCTATCCAAACTTAAGTCATTTATGTACAGTATATGGAAGAGACTTTTTAAAAACTTAGCAACCAGGGAAATCTTATCTTTTATTACTCAATTCAATGTCTTCAGAACACCTCCCTACCTGGCTGCTTTATTATAGTCCCCTTAGATCTACTCCTACCTCCTTACATTATCACCAACTCAAAAGCCCAATTCTTATTCCATATTTCCCTGTAGATCACATCAATCTATACCAGCCTCTTGACTCTTTCTCACCTTAGCCCTATCTCTGCAAAACCACTATTCRAGGCTGGGAAAAGACAAGGAGAAGATTTTAATCAGCGGCTTGGAATTAAAGGAACATCTTTATACTTTCTTCACCGATCATAAAATTTTACACAGTTTTGGGGTAGCTGCAGCAAAAAATATCTAGTCCTATTAACAGCACAAAAGAGGTTCCTACAAAAATCAACAGTTTTTCCATACAACAAAATCAGGAAAACTCCATGCACAATAGCTTAAAAAAAAGAAAAAAAAAATATATATATATATGAGTAAGCCTAACCAAAGAGGTGAAAGACAGACATCTACAATGAACATTATAAAACACTGAAGAAAGAAATTGAGAAACACACTAGAAAATGGAAAGATCTTCCATTTTCACGGATAGGCAGAATTAATATTGTTAAAATGGGCATATTTCCAAAAGTGATCTACAAATTCAATGTAATACTCATCAAAATACCAGTGATAGTCTTCATAGAATAGAAAGAACAAAAAATCCAGAATAGCCAAAGCAATCCTGAGCAAAAAAACAGCAATGCTGGAGGCAACACAATAACTGATTTCAAATTATCCTAYAGAGCACAATAACAAAAACAAGCATGGCATTAAAAAAGTCAGAGGAATGGAACAGAAGACACAGAAACCAAACCACATAGTTAATTCTTTTTTCCCCCCACAAGGAAAAAAATGCATTTTATTTAACCACCAACTGCACACACATTTAAACATACATATAACTAAGATGATATTAACTCTTCCTATGTGGGATACATTGTGAAATATTCTGCTCTGTTCTTTAATTAAAAAAGAAAAACTCGGTAAAAAGATATTGTAAACCACTAATGTCGCTACCCTTAATGACTCTAGAACATTACCAATTTCAATTTATAATTTGAAGAAATTTATTGTCTTCCTCCTTCTTAGAATTAGCCCATGATAGTATTCTAAGTACTCAGAGGGGGAAAAACCCAAAAACTATGGCCTTATTTCCCTGTATCCAGTTTGGACATGGTAYATACTTTCCAACTTGTGTTTCAAGCACAGACCTTCCCAGGCTAAAAAGCAGAGAGGATGATTTGCAGCTATGTAATAATACATGTCCCTATCTGTATTGCACATTTTATTGTCTYTTTTGCATACATTATTTCATTTGAACCTGGCAACAACCCTGTGAGGTAGGTGAGGAAACTAACAGGTTCATTTTACACATAATAAAATAAAGTCAAATAAACATGGGGTGGGGGGTTGCTTTTTTTGATGCTGGAAATTCAATTAGGACCTTGTCCCATGCAAAACACATGCTCTATTAACCTCACATATTTTTAACATTTACTCCTTATTTTTACATTATTGATTCAACTTTTTGTAGGCTACAATAATAGACCTAATTCCAAACTTACCAAGCCAAACTCATSCTCCTCTATCAATAAAAATTTATGGCCACAGAATATGAAAAAAAATACATACATATATATATGCAATATTTTGTTGGTTCTTGTGTAATGGAACAGATAATATGAAAGATCCTAATGGCCAAGAAAAGTGAAGTCAGAGGAAGTGATATTCTTTAAAATGTATTAAAGGAAAAAGGTCCCTTTCAGCTTCTACTTTTTTTTTTTTTTTTAAAGAGAGAGAGAGAGAGAGAGAGAGAGAGAGAGAATTTTTTAATATTTATTGTTTAGTTTTCAGCGGACACAACATCTTTGTTTGTATGTGGTGCTGAGGATCGAACCCGGGCCGCACGCATGCCAGGCGAGCGCGCTACTGTTTGAGCCACATCCCCAGCCCAGCTTCTACTTTTATGAGAGTTCAATGGACAGCTTTAATGCAGATAATACTTGAAGCTTTTGAAGAGGTCCTAATTCTTTCTTTTTTTTTTTTAGTTGTAGTTGGACACAATACCTTTATTTTATTTATTCTTAAGTGGTGCTGAGGATCGAACCCAGGGCTGTGCATGGGCTAGGCAAGCACCTTACCACTGAGCCACAACCCCAGTCCCAAGAGGTCCTAATTCTTGATGTGGTTATCTTACTCAACTTTTGAATGCATAATAATGGTGAACCATGGTTTTCAAAACCTTGCTCCTTGCTTTCCCAAAGTGCTAGGATTTGAATGCCACAATACAAACTGATTCATGTTTTTGCCATTAATTGTCTATGGAGTTCTTTAAATGAAGTCTGTGTTAGTGTCCATAGATATCAGTGCTCTGCAAAAGCTGCTGGGGGATTCAACATTCCCAGTGACCACAGAGGCCAAGCCCCACCCACAACCATCTGATTCTTGAAAAAGATGTCAAAAACATGTTAGTGAAGACACCCTCTTTCATAAGTGGTGCTATAAAAAACAAGACATTCATATATAGAAGAATAAAATTAGATCCTTATCTCTTACCCTATATAAAAGTCAACTCAAAATTGATCCAAGCTGGGCACAGTGACACACACCWATAATTCCAGCAGCTTGGGAGATGGAGGAGTTCAATGTCAGTCTCAGCAAAAAGTGAAGTACTAAGCAACTCAGTGAGATCTTGCCTCTAAATAAAATACAAAAAGGGCTGGGGATGTTACTCAGTGGTTGAGTGCCCCCGAGTTTAATCCCTGGTATCCGGGGGAAAAAAAAATGGAACCAAGACCCACGTTTAAGACCAGAAACTGAAACTATTAGAAGAAAAAATAAAGGGAGCACTTCAACATGTAGGCACAGGCAAAGACTTCTTGAGTAGGATTCCCATAGCTCAGGAAATAAGAGAAAGAATAATAGAATGGTATCAAACCTAAAAGCCTCTACAGAACAAAAGGAAACAATTAACAATGAAGAAACAACCCACAAAATGGGAGAATTTTTGCTAGCTAATCATCTAACATAGGATTTAATACCCAGAATATGCAAAGAACTCAAATGAATAACCCAATCAATAAATGGCAAATGAACTAAACAGACACTTCTCAAAAGAAGTACAATATGGCTAACAWCTATAATTAAAAAAAAAGGCTCAACATCTTCAGTTGTCAACRAAATGTAAATTAAAACTACACTAAGATTCCATCTCACTCTAGTTAGAAAGGCAATCTTCAAGAATATAAAAAATAATAGATGCTAGCTAGGATACAGTAAAAAGAAACTCTTATATACTGTTGGTGGGAATATAAATTAGCATAGTAACTATGGAAATTAGTGTGGAGGTTCCTTAAAAAGATAAAAATATTTAATTACTATATGATCCAGTTATACCATTCCTTAGTATTTATCCAAAAGAATGAAAGTAAGCATACTTAGATACACACATACCTATGTTTATAACAGCACAACACAACAGCCAAGTTATGGAATCACCCTAGGTGTCCACCAACAGATGAATGGAAGAAAATGTGGTATATAAACCCAATGAACTTCTGTTCAGCCATAAAGAACAAAATTATGTCATTTGCAGGAAAATTAATGGAAATGGAGGCCACAATTTTGAGTGAAGTAAGTCAGATTCATAAAAGTATTGTTATRTTTTCCCTCATATATGAAAGTTAAGGGGGGGGGGGCGAAAAGGATGCCATGAAAGTAGAGGGTGACCATTAGGGTAGAGGAAGAAGATGGGAAGAGAAAAAGAAAGGTAGGGGCAGTACTGGGGAGTAAAATCAATCAAATTGCGATTTCATGTATGTGTGAATATGCTACAATGACACCCCCTATTCTGGATAACTGAGCTACACCAACTTAAAAAAAAAAAGTTTCTAGTATGATAAACTTTCTCTATAATTTTCAAGGGAAAGATTAAGGACATCAACACTCATTAAGGAAACTACATATGATAAAAAAAGCTAAGCATATTTGTAGCAAGATTAGTTTTTTTTCTCATTTCACATCAAGTCAAAAGAAATAAGTAAGGCTATAGAAGATATAAGCAACATAACAACTAACATCTACTAACTCCAATATTTAGATTCCTAACTCAGCCTCTCTCCTCAGCTTCAGACTTTAAATTGTCAACTCAACGTCTGCACTTGAACATCTAAAATTTAACATGTTTAAAACCAATCTTCCCCACCTAAATAAATGGCAATTTTTCAGACAAATATGTTAAGACAGATCCTTGACTTGCATTTAAAGGAACAAAAGTATTTTTTTTTTAAATGGGGATAAATGGGAGAAAGAAATCAAATGAAGAACTCACATAGGCCAGGTCTTTAAAAATATAACAGGTTGCAATTTAAGTTAGTGAATGAAGCAATACCTGCCTTTTTCTGTCTTTAGATGTTCTTGGTCAGCCTGTGAAGCATAGATGGCAGACAACACTGAAAAAATAGAGGCTAGCACTGTTTTCTGTTCTTGCAGTATGATGGGTGGGTCATCAGACTGGCAGAATTCATGGCAGACCAGGTCAAAAAGTAAAGTCCAAGTGTCTTTTCCAGTATCAGGACACTGTACTTAATAAAGAATATAAACAAAGTAGTAATTTAAAAATAAAGAAACTACTAAATTAGTAGCTCTAATGCATCCCAATAAACCATCTTACCAATTGCTTGAATTCCATCATCCACTGTGGTAAGCAACTGTAAGATATGCATGTAAACATCAAGCCCTTCTGGGTTTTCAGAACTAAATACAAAAAGCAAAAGGCAGTGCATCAATAACTTTATTGTCTAGGGAATTTTATCTATTCACTCATTCTATAAATATTTATTACACTGTTTTAGCCATTGCCCTAGGAGCTGAGGATAAAACAGTTCCCTATTTTATCCTCAGTTTTTAAATGCTCATTAGAATTTATATTATAATGGGGAAAGAGTAAACAAGCAAATATGTAATATAATCACACAAAGGAAAGAGGTAAAATTCTTTTGRCTATGTCCCACAAAAACAACAATGCACAGACCTGCTAGACAATGTTTCCATCATTGTTTTCTTTTCAAATAGTCAAAACAAAAAAATAACTGAGACATCTTTTTTTCTTAATAAGGATTGAACCCAGCAGTGCTTTACCACTGAGCTATWATCCAGCCCTTTTTATTTTGAGACAGGGTCTCGCTAAGTTGTTGAGGATCTTGCTAAATTGCTGAGGCTGGCCTAGAATTCACAATCCTCCTGTCTCAGTCTCCTGAGTCTCTGGGATTACAGGTGTGAATCACTGTACCAGGCAATAACTGAAATTATGATAGTAAGAAAGTAAGGTCCATTGCACTAAGTATTGACAATGTTCTTAAAACTTCACAAGGTTATCCTAGTTCCATAGCTGAGTACAATAAAACCCTTAAAGCACAATTCTTATAAACAATTTGTTGTCTCAGAAATTAAAAGTGTTGGTTCTTCAACAAAACAATAAAATGAAAAGATAGTGAACAATTAAAACAATAGTTCAGCAAATGTTTATTTATGTACCTAAAACCTTCAGGCACTATGTTAGGGGCTAGGAAGACAGAGATGTTTAAGATGTTACCACTATATTCTTAAAATTTATTGTTTAAAAGGCAGGAAGAAAATTAAAGCAGTWATTATAATAAAGTGAAATAAATTTAGCACTAGAAGAAATCCGAGGTGCCAAGAGAACACAAATCATGTATATTTCATTTAGACTGGAGGGTCAGGAAGGTACCTTAAGAGAAATGATGTTTACACAGAAACCTGAAAGGGTGTTAATATGTTTGAGGTAAGAGGAGACATACTATGTAAAGGCTCGGAGTCAGGAAAACTTTGTTCTGTTCAGTTTGAAGAATTGAAGAAAATTTCACATGGCAACACAGAATACAAGGAACCAAAACAGAAAGGCATTTTTCAGGGCCATACACCATGCTTTTTAAAAAATATGGACCTTATCCTAAGAAGGGCAACTGAAAAGTTTAAAGAATGACAATGAGATGATAAATGAGTCTTTGCAAAGACAGCTTTAAAAACTAGTCTTGGATAGCTAGGTACAGTGGCACACACCTATAATACCAGTGGCTTAGGACGCTGAGGCAGGAGGATCTCGAGGTCAAAGCCAGCCTCAGCAACTAAGCAAGATCCTAAGCAACTCAGCAAGACTGCGTCTCTAGATTAAAAATAAAAAAGATGGGGCTGGGGATGTGGCTCAAGCGGTAGCACACTCGCCTGGCAAGTGCGGGGCACTGGGTTCGATCCTCAGCACCACATAAAAATAAAATAAAGATGTTGTGTCCACCAAAAACTAAAAAGTAAATATTTTAAAATTCTCTTTAAAAAATAAAAAAAAATAAAAAAATAAAAAAGAGGGTTGGGGATGTGGCTCAGTGGTTAAGCGCCCCTGGGGTCAATCCCCAGTACCACAAAAAGACCAGTCTGGGAAGAAGCAATCCCTAAAACCAGGAAAAACAAGTAACAGAATGTGGCAATTGTCCAGGTGAGAGACACAGAGCCTAGCTGGCACAAATGGGATCCTGGAAAAAGTCAGGACCATGACTTGAAAGTTGACTGGCTGTAGAAAAAGAGTGGGGTAGGAAGAGTCAGTAGCTTCACTATTTCTTCAACATATTCAAAGAGGATAATAACTGCATCATTTACTGATTGAAAATACTAAAGAAGCAGATTTGGAGGAATAATGAAAAGTTTAATCCTCACTTAGTAAAGGACATAAAATAAATAGCTATTCATGTGGCCTAAGAGCACTAAGAATGCAATAGTAACCACTAAGCAGATTAATAGCTGCTTATATAAAATATCAATTATTCTAGTGACTAATAGTAAATAGTTTCAGTGTCATGTAAGAACTAATAATTTCTCATGGCAAGACAACAAACTGCCCAAATCAATCACCTTTCCAGATTGGTGTACCTACAAAAGGGACAAGGAACAAGAAAACAAATGTTGATGACATTAATGGAARTTGTTAAATGTTCAATGTAAAATGAAACACAAGAAAACCTTTTCTCTTTGATCTAAATTACATAAAATTGCTGATGAAGTTAGGAAAGTAACCACAATTATTGCTGAACAATCACCTATAACTAGATGATATTAAAACAAGTATTTTGAACCATTATGATTCTTGCAAAGAATAAATATTCTGCCACCCCAAATATTGGTAGGGAATCAAACCTAACAAAGACTATCTGTACACGTCATCCTATCAAAAAGAAAGTAAGACTTCTATATCTAAGGCTACTTCTAGCAGTTGGATTTTCCAGAACATTTTGCACAAAAAAGCTCACTTACCGTAATTGTTTGGCAGCTTCAAGTACACAGGGCACAATCCTAAATACTGGCTGCTCTTCAGAATCTTCCTGGGGTTGGCCCAAAGGCTGAGCAACCCCATTTCTAATCCATTCCAACATTAGTTTCTCATCCAAATCAAAGAGCTTGTCCACAACCTCCCCCACTTTCACCAGCAAGTCAACTGAAGAAAATAAAACAAGTATTGAAATAAAAATGAGAATGTTGCAGGGCTGGAGTTGTAGCTTAGAGTGCTTGCCTAGCAAGTGTGAGGCACTGAGTTCGATTCTCAGCACTGCATATAAATAAATTAATTAAATAAAGGTCCATCAACAATTAAAAAAATTTTTTTTAATGTTTAAAGCAATAAGGTTAAGCAAAATTCATAAAGCTATTCCAAAAGACATATCTTGCCAAGACAGTACTTATTCTAAGGGTGATCTGTTTATCTCTTATGTTTAAAATGATTATCTTCCTTCAGTAAGCAGAAAATTTATCAGTGTCCTGGGAGTTTCAGAAGCAATTTTACTCCTTAAATCAAAAAACTTTTTCTTGCATTTAGCCTTTTTAAAAACATGACTTTCAGAAATAGTAACATGTTTTCCTAATAATTAAATGTACTCTAAAACATTTTTTCTAGATTACATGGTGACTTACCATTTGTTGAGCTTGACATGATGAAACAAATGCTATCATAAATAGCTGGTTGTTCTCGTATCCTTTCAACCCAGACACTGGCCACTTCTGTCTGGGAAAGGCAAGTAAGCAACAACCTACATGATAAATGTCAACTTAATGTCTATCTTCCAAAAACAGTATAGGAAATTTAAGAATCAAGAATTAACTCTATTTTCTTAGATTCCCTTATGGGTGATTTTATGGAACCCACAAAAAAGAAAAGCATACCTGCTTGTTTCCAGCAGAGTAGGCGGGTCTGAATCATACAAACAGTGCAATAACACTTGCCTACAAAACAAAAGTCCATATGCTTCACATCTCTCATTTCAAACATCAGAATTTTCATTTAATTTTTTAAACATTTTTACTGTGAAATAAAGCATATATGCAGAAAGGCATATTAAAATACAAATCTACAGTCAATGAATTATAAAGGAAATGTTCATGTTCATTTTTAAGTTATTAATTTTTTAAAATATTTTTTAGTAGTTGATGGGCCTTTATTTATTTATTTTATTTATGTGTGGTGCTAAGAATCAAACCCAACATCTCACACATGCTAAAATATTCATGTTTCCAAGAAAGAGAAGAATGGTGCATATCCATGACCCCTATGTATCTTATTCTGAATCAGTTCTCTTTCCCATCTAGAAAAGGAAATACCAACTTTTCCAGCAACCAATTCCTGTTCTATAGTTTTATTATTTTATAGTTTTTAGTTTTGCTTTTGAACTTTATATGAAAGAAATTATATTATATATTTTTTTCCTTAAAAAACTTCATCTATCCATCTATTTGTCTTTGACACATAATTGTACATACTTACAAGGTACAGTAGGACACTTCAATGCACATGTACGTATTCTTAAGTCCTAGTTTTGCTCAAAATCATGTGTAGGAAATCATGGAATCCACAAAAAGAGAAAAGCATACCTGCTTGTTTCCAGCAGAGTAGGCAGCTGTTCTTTAAGTCACTGCTGCAGARCATTCAGTTGTATGAATATATCGTAACTTATTTTTCCAGACTATTGCTGATGGACAGTCTATTTCAATTTGGGGTTATTTCAAACAATACTTCTGAAATAATGTTTGTGTAAAGGAGTTGGGGGTATAGCTCAATAGCAGAACACCTGCCTAACATTCATGAGGCCCTGGATTCAATCCCAGCTCCAAAAGATGATAATAATAATGATAGTATATGTGTATCCTAATGTACATGTGCAATTTTTCTTACTACATACCTATGAGTGGCATTCTTGTGTCATAGCATATGYGTATCTTCCAATCTGACTAGAAGTACTCAACTGTTCTTTTTCTTTTCTGGTACTGGGGATTGAGCCCAGGGGTACTTAACCACTGATCCACATCCCTAGCCCTATTTTTTATTTTAAAGCAAGGTCTTTACAGAGGGCCTCATTAAATTGCTGAGGCTGGCTTTGAACTTGTGATCCTCCTGCCTTCGCTTCCCAAGTCACTGGGATTACAGGTGAGTGCCACTGCACCAGCCTTGGTCATATGTTCTCAAACTGAACAAATTCATATCCCTTTAGCAATATAAACTGTTMTATACTAATTTTAAGATAAACATTAATTGAATTTAAAAGACATGTTAACATTTTTCATTATCAGATTTTTGATAGGGAATGCTAGAGATGAAATGCAATCCTGAGACATCTACTCCATGAATGATTATAAATTAGTGAGGAATAAATGCTTTCAACTAGTATCTTAAATCTCTCCACACCTTGAAGACAAAAACCAACWTTTTCTAGAGACTCAGGTACTTGAATCCTGTGATAAACTTATATAACCCCATCTCTGACAAAAACTGTCTAGAACAGTCTCCATAGCCATTCTGGATACAAATTTCTTTTAGATCCTGAATAATAGCCATGTACCCCATATTGAGAAAATGAATACACTCATCAAATTTAGCATGTAATTTYACCAAGGTTTCCCCCATTGAAAAACCTTCTGCTGAAAACTTTCCTGGCTATAGAAGAGAACTAGCCTCCAAGCAGAAATACGAAAGCCTTTAATCACAGAGTCAATCTTCTAGTCTATTGGTAAGTTCTGCTCCCTCATCTAAGTGAAAGCTCTCAGAGTGACACTGTTTAACAAATCTTGTGTCCTAAACTCTGGATCTCTGAGGCCTTGCATTCCCTATGCCTACATTGTTTTAGATTCTGATTCACTGCCCCCATCTCCAAGTTTGACCTCATGGATCCTTCTTCTGGCCTGCTTACATCTGCACTCAGGTCCCTTTGATATTCATAAAGAATAAACTGGCTTAACTCCTGAATCATGCCCATATGCAAGTGTGGAAGTCCCTAGCTATCATTAACATGCAATGAAGTTCCTGTAGCATGTTCATCAACAACATTATCTTTCACATTTTCTCATTTCCTTAGGGATATAAAATATGAATCCATTTTTAAAATATAATTATCATGATAAGACTTACCCAAGATTTTTATCACTGCTGATGGACACACATATCTCTTGGAAACAGGCCATATTACCTAAAATCCCCACACAGATTTCCTGCCAAAGCAAATTTCACAGGTCACAATGGTTCTGAGATAAAAGACATATACAAAAAAAAAAAAAAAMCAAAAAACTATTTATTAGCACTTATTAAGACCAGCCACTACATGTCATTTCATATAATTTATGAGGTAGGTATTACTATTATTCCCATCCTTCAGATAAGGAAAGTCAAGCAACATTCAACCACTATTTCTTCCTGCACCTCAGTAGTCAAGATGCAAAAAGATTAGGGCTGTGATGGATGAGGATAGTGATGCAGCCATAGAAAAAGATGAAGATAAGGAAGACAAGGATAAGGAAGAGTGAAAGCAAAAAAATCTATTGGAAAGTAAAGGAGAAAGCAGTTGAACATGACTCATATATTTCAAGTTGTTTCATTTCCCCAGAGACTGATACCATTAACAGGAAAACTGAAAAAAGAAAATTGTATAAAAGGACACAATTAATTCATGCAGTACAGTATACTTGCTGGAACATGAGATTTGCTCAGGGGGTTTGTTAACAATACTGACTTCCAAGTCCCATCTAGATCAACTGAATCTGAATGTCTAGCATAGAGCCTCAGAAGTTAATGTTTACCAAGCACACCAGGTGGTTTTTATGATCAGGTAAATGTGATAATCACTGAGTTAGGACATATGAAATCTGGGATTAGAAAATGCAGCATGCAAGTAGAAAATGCCTGAAGAAAGTTAGAGATGTGGCACCAGTTACCAGATAGAAGTCAGGGTTTTGAACCCACAATACAGAGCTGTAATATACAAGTGTAAAATAAGGAAACGAATATTAAAAAAACAAAAGACTGGGTTCTGGATCTAAGAAAGAGCTCATACCCAGGGTACAGAAAGAAAGCACCAATGAAAGTGACAGAGAAGAGCTGGGGATGTGGCTCAAGCGGTAGCAAGCTCGCCTGGCATGCGTGTGGCCTGGGTTCKATCCTCAGCATCACATACAAACAAAGATGTTGTGTCCGCCGAAAACTAAAAAATAAATATTAAAAAAATTCTCAAAAAAAAAAAAGAAAGTGACAGAGAAGGGACTGAAGAGGTCAGAGACCAGAGAGGGCAAGTGTCACAGAAGCTTCAGAGATGGAGTGTTTCAATAAAATGTGGGTGGTCAAATGTCGAGAAAAGATTAAAAGAGAGTAGGGACAGAAAAAAACACATACTTCCCTTATAAACTAATGACAGAACTTCCAATCAAACACCAAGTACCATAGTGCTGGCCACTCATCAGAATAACCTAGGGAATGTCAAAAGTTGCTGAGTGGCTGGGTGCGGTTGYATGCACATGTAATMMCAGCAGCTGCAGAGGCTGAGGCAGGAGGATCACAAATTCAAAGCCAGTCTCAGCAAGGGTTAGGTACTAAGCAACTCAGTGAGACCCTCTCTCTAAATAAAATACAAAAAACAGGGCTGGGGATGTGGCTCAGTGGTTGAGTGCCCCTGAGTTCAATCCTTGGTATTAAAAAAAAAAAAAAAAAAAAAATTGTTGAGTGCAGCATGCATGGAGATACAGGCTGATTGACAGGATTTTTAAAAATTCCTTCAACAAAGCTTCTCAACCTATGATTCTGCTGTAGAGCACTAGTGTCACTTGGAAGTATATATGAACCCTAACAAAGTTGATCAGAAACTCAGGAGATAGGCTCAGCAATCAGTGATCTGGGATTGAAGAAAGTTAGGAATGTTGCACCAGTTTGAGAACGAGCTGAAGTTTGAGAACCTGTGGTATTTGGTCTCAAGACAATTACTGCTGTAGTAGGCTGTGGCTAGAAGACACATTCAACAATATGACTAATTCCTGAAAGGTGCCATTTCTGACATGTTTATTTCTTAAATAATTATGAGTCAATGTATTTAAGATAGAAAAATTAAGAGAAATAACACAAAATTGTCAAATTCTTCTATTAGTATAAGGATCCAAGGAAATACTGGTTTATCAGTACCCAATTCAGGTAGAACATTTTAAGATAAAAATTTTAATTCAACATTCAATTCATAAAAATATTCTACAGAATTCCATTCTTTGAAATCTCAAAGAAAGAAAAGCAATTCAGTACTGTGTTATACTGGAGTCAGGCCTAGATTTAAATCTCAACTTCATTCTTAATTAGTTTTGTGGCCTTGGACACATCTTAACCTGAGACACAGTTGTCTATAAAGTATGCCTCATGGGAGTAGTAAAACCAAATGCTCTGTAAATAATAATTATTTATAATTAAATTATTCAACAAATACATCCATCATATGGATAGCACATGGCAACTTAAATGGCAATAAAGCACAGGACATTTAACATTTCATAAATAAAGACCTCTCATTTAGTTTTTATCTATTATTCTTAGGAATTTACTATCAACAATAACTACTAAGATCTTACTTATTTGGAAAGGCATGGAAGAAAAAAAAAACTACTTTGAGTWACTGATATGAACACTGAGAGGAGACAGAGGGCACACAAAGAGATGGCCATCACAATAAGCTGGTGAGATGGAATGTAGACAGGCCTATCCAAATTAGGACCATCTAGACAGTAGATTTTTTTTTGGGGGGGGGGGGGGCCAGGAATTGAACTTAGAGGGACTTGACCACTGAGCCACACCCCCAGCCCTATTTTGTATTTTATTTAGAGATAGGGTCTGTGTTGCTTCGCACCTCACTTTTGCTGAGGCTGGCTTTGAACTGGAAGGTAGATTTTATGCTAGAAAGATGATTCAGGTTCAGATTGTGGAAGTCTTAAGCAACAGGCTAAGTTTAGAATGGCTCTTAAGCAATGGAAGCTTTTGAGTGAAAAAGAACAATGAACTGAGAAACAGGAGGTCCAGGAACTGTTCTCTGTTTGTCACATATTAGCAGCATAACATAGTTATACCTATCTAGTTTCTACAGTTGTTAAATGAAACTATTGATCTTCCTAATCCAGTCCAAATCTAAAATTCTATGGCTCTAATAATTTTAAGTAGTACTTTACCTAGTAATGTTCAATAAACATTTACAGACTGATATTATTGATTTATAGACAGTAAGAAAATCAAAGTGAAAAAAATGAAATGTATACTTACTCTTAATCGAGGACACTTGGATCTGGCCAGTACTCCCATAAATATGTCAGGAGCCTTAAATTCTTGGAGAAATAAAGCCACATCCTATAAACAAAAATGAATATTAACTTGGATGCTGAATATTCTTCTTTAAACTCCATAGCTAAGGCAACTGTAAAAAAATTTAATTTCATATATACTACCATTAGGACACAAGAGAGAAAAAAACCCACAAGTTACAAGGTTAGGTGAGGAACTGTGCCAACAGATAAAAGCAAGGTTAGAAAAATTTTGTGGTATTTGGTCTCAAGACAATGGAACAATTCCATAAACAAATCTACTCACTGTGATACTCTGGAGAATTGTCTTCCTTTTATTCTGCCCTGATTATATTTACATACCAGGAATTCTTAGTCAAACACACTTGCTAATTTTGTCAGAATTAAATTAAAGGAAAGAGTAAAATCTTAATTCCTATCCTCCAAGGTTTAAGACACAATAAGGGAAACAGGTGAGAACAGCTAATGGGTCATATTAAAAAATCAGAACTTGGGGGCTGGGGTTGTAGCTAAGTGGTAGAGCACTTGCCTAGCATGTGTAAGGCACTGGGTTCAATCCTCAGCACCACATAAAAAATAAGTAAATTAAATAAAGGTATTGTGTCCATCTATAACAAAAAACATTTTTTTAAAAAATCAGAATTTGTATTTTCAAAATTCTCAGTAGAAAAAATTCTGATCACAATATAATTATAAGAGTGAGTTTGCTTAGTCTACAATGCCAAACAGGGGCACACCACACAAACCTGGAGTGGACATGTGATCCCAAAAAGGCCAAATACTGCCGAAGAATGTGAGATGCAAAAACTAAATTAGTTAACTATGGAAGGTGGGGATGTGAATTGTTAAACAGAGTCATATGCCACACAATGATGTTTCAGTCAGTGACAGACTACCTATAGGATGATGGTCGAATAAAATTGTCTAGTGATGTCATAGGTATCTTAATGGGTTTAAGTATGTTCTGTGATATTCAGGACAATTACACATATTTTCAGAGACAAATTTTTAGCATTCATAGCTTCTGGGACTATTCCTTGAACCACATATTCAAGTGACTACAGACACTCAAGAAAGCCTTTGCTCAGAGAGTGAAGGACTGAACCTATTCTAAAAATCCACTCACCACCTTCTCACCTAAGAGTCTGAAATTTCAATGTTTCATCTCTAACCTCATACCTCATCCATTGACATATCCCATACTCTGCAAATTTCATTCTCCATTTCTTCATCAAGCTCCATCTGCTGCTCCTCATCATCTGAGCCAGATTTGGTGTTTTGAGGTCTAACAATCTTCAAAAGAAAAGAAAAAAATAAAAATTTTCTATAGTACTTTCTAACTAATATTATCCCATAACCACTTAAAAGTCCAGAGACTCTCCTCAAATCTTCTTTCACAAACATCTTGTTTTAAAAATTAATGCCTTGGGTAGATCTATTCATTCAACACTTATGGATCAAATACTGTTGTTAGAAAACTGGGATAAATAAGATGTAATCCCTGCTTTCATGCATTTTAGGATTAGTGGGGATAAGACATGTAAATTGATAGTCACAAAAATTTTATGACTCAACTGAATTATGGACTAAGAGTTGGAGTAGGACCTATGATGGACCAATTACCTATTCCTGAGAGAAGCTGGGAGTCACTCCTTTTAGGAGGTGATATTTAAGCTAAATCTTGGAGGGAAAATGGAAGTTTGTCAGGTGAAAAAGATAAGAGCATTTGGAGATAAGAATCAGAGTTAAGAAAGTGCCTAGCATTTGAGGAATGGTGTACAGTTTGCTGTTGATGGAACACACTGTACCATGAGCAGAGAAGCCTGGAAAGGCTGCAAAAAGCCCTGGATTCCAAGCTAAGAAATATGCATTTTGCTTCAACAGTCAAACAAGAACTAAGAGGAGTATCAACAACTTTTTTTTTTTTTTTTTGTCTTAAGGAAGATTATTCTGGAAGCTGTGTAGAAAAAGGACAGGAAAGGACAGAAATTGGAAGAGGGGAATCTAGTTGAGATGCGGAGAGGAAAAAAAACTTACATTTACTGAGTCTCCTATAAGCCAAAAACCATGGTGGGCACTCTATGATCATTATGTCACTTAACCTATAAAAAAACTCTATATGATATTATAGGTATTATCATCCTATTTTATAGAAATTGCCTGAGAAATCAAAGTTCTTGGTGGTTAGGTGACTTGTCCAAAGTAATGCAGTTAGTAGATGGTGAGGCTACATCTTTGACATCCATTTATTCTACAAAAAAAGTCCATGAATCACATAAATTTTAAGGCTTGGGCTTCAGAAATGACGATAGGGATGGGGAGCATAGTTCTATGTCTTTGGAGAACTTGCAAAATTACGGTAACTGCAAACGTCCCAACATCCCTGACACTAAACTTTTCTTGGCATCAGGCGCACCAAAGTGAYCCCAGGCAGTTTGGGGGTCAGCTGAGGTTGCGAGGCGCCTTTTGCCGAGMGTACGCTTGGGAAGGGGTGGTCGGGGGATTTGGTGGCTCCAGGAGCCTGAGGGGCTGCCAGCTACCAGGCCGAACCACCTGAGGGGCAGCCCCAGCGTGCGCGATTTCCACACCTGGATGAGCCCGCTGAGGACGCCAAACAGCCAGTGTTTGCTGTAGACCGTGCTCCCAATGCAGTCTSCTCCAGCAGTCTCCTCGTGCTCCTTCTCGTCCCGACTGGGCGGCGGCGGCGAGGGGTTGCGGTCCATGACTGAGCGCGCCCACAGCGCCCGGGAGCCGCGCCGGAAGCCGGGGAGGAGAGGAAAGGTCTCCTCACGCTAGAGGGCCCAGCGCGCCTGGCGCGGCTCCTGACACAGCGCCCCCTGCTGCTCGAAGCCCGCCCGGCCAGAGGACCCGCCCAAAAAGTGGAATGTGACCCATGTAGTTTAGTACTGAGCAATATTTGTTTGTAGGGTACTCCTGGCTCTGTAAAGATATGCCCATTCCCTTAAAACTTCTGAAATAAAAGCTGAGCATTATTCTCTGTGGTAAGCCTTGGAGTAAGATTGAGATTAACTCTGATTGATTATGCCTCACACATAGARGACCAAAAATCAAAAAACTTAAATAGCTGGCAAAAGAGTAAATATTGAGAATTATGTGCCAGGCACTGTTCTAGGCATTAGGGTTCTAGCAGTGAAGAAAATAGAAAATTCTAATAGGAGAAGACAACCAAACAAATAAGTAAAATACATGATAGGAGTAGTAGATTAGTACACTAAAAGCCCACCATGGATCATGCTTCATGATTTCCAGATCCTCCAGTGGCTTCCTCCCTCTCTCTCTCTCACTCAGCTTTTGTCATGTGACTTTTTTGTCCAATAGGATAGCATCAAATGTGACACCAGAAGACATTTGGTGAATGCTTGGGCCTCCTGGGGCCTGCCTTTTGGGGGCACTACTACCGTGTAAATATCCAGTCTTGTCTCCTTAGTAATAAAGGCCAGTGGATAGAGACCCAACAGTTTTAGCTGTTCCAGATGGGCCCAGCTCCAGTGCCTGCCAACCTTAAGTTGAGTACAGCTCCCCAATTTTTTTTAAACTAGTGCCTTATATCTTTTTATATATATATAAAATCAAAACAATGATGTTTTCTGATCACTCCATGGCCAATGTTCCCAGTAACACCATCACAGGCTCATATTACAGTGATAAGTCGGATTTCATGAGCATTTATTAAGCACTTTTATGTGTTCTAGTATTAGGCATAAAGAATTCAGTAACTACTTCAACAAATTTSTCTGCTGTCAGTTCACAGCTAGATTTCTGGAGAGCAGAGAGAAGACACTCAGTACTTCTTAGGCAGGCCAGCAGGTCTGAAGTGATTGGGGTCTTTGCCACTCCGGCCCCATTCGTTGGCAAACTGGTCAGCCTTCGAGTCCTCTGCTCCATGGCCTGTCAATCTCTGAATATTCTCTCTGGCATTACTGTAATCAAGACAGGCAGGAAGGAGATTAATCATCAGGCTAATAAGCAACAGTCCCACCCTTTCCACTCCTCTTTCAAAGTAAAGGCTCTGAGAAGAGTCCAGGAAAGCCAAGGAAAGGGGGGTAAAGACCGCCCCTCCCTGGCACAGCCCTACTCAGGCCAGGCTGGTCAACCTGAGAAGAACAGCACCCAAGAAGGAGGGTTGGGAACCATTCAGGCCCACCAGCCACTCAGAGCCCACATCAAGCACCRACTCAGAGAAAAGCTCCAGAGAATGGGCAAGAAGAGGAGGGGCCACAGCCTCCATGGGAAATTTGGCTGCTCAGAAGAGAGTCCCCTCCTGACTATCCAAGGCAGTCAAGCTCTGCTCACCCAGGCCTGCCATCCCTGGGAACCTGCCTTACCTGATCACTTTAGCAGCCCAGGCACCCCCAGGTCCCCTTCGGGCAGCGTCATAGTTCCCTCGGGCATGGAAGTACTTGTCTGAATTTTTGTAATTGGCTTCCCGCATGTCAGAGTAAGCTCGCCACATGTCTCTAGTCCCTGGAAAGGAAAGAAAATGATGACAATGATCATGCCCTTCTTTACTTCTCTAATCAGAAGATTTCAGCTTTTGACAAAGCCCTTGGAATGAATATTGGCTTAAAAGGAGTATTTATTTTTATACGGAGTTAAGGTAATGAGAATCACACTCGATACAAGTTTTGTTCTGTTTGATTCCATTCTTTGTCTGTTGCTATTTTGTTTTTGACTGTGTGTGGTGCATGTAAAGATATGGGATGATCTTTAAGGGATATTCATTGCATAATGGTCCTGTATCTGGAAAGATCCAGGGACCCTTCTGACTAAGTGTGAGAACATGAGGCTATGACATACATATGACCTCTCCAAACCTAGGCAATGGGAGAAAGTCATCCTCATGAGCAGAGTGAGGACAGTTCTATCTTGAGTACATCTGAATGTCCAGGCTATATTTGAGCCTGAATGACTATCAGAATCCAAACATAGGTGACAAAGGTGAGTTCTCTAAGAGAGATTTAAATAAACCAAATCAGGTTCAAAACGTCAGTGTCCTCCCTAATAAAATGAAAGAACATTGACCTAAGGAGTCAAAGATAAGGCCTGGGAATATAGCTCAGCAATAGAGCATGTGTGAGGTCTTGAGTTTGATCCTTAGCATGGCAAAAAAAAAAAAAAAAAAGGTATTTTTAGCTGGGTGTGTGAGAATCTAGATGGATCAACAGCAAATCCTTAAAATAATTATTCAGAAAGTATTGCAGAAAATTAATAATACCTGAATTTTTTTTTTCAGTACTGAGTATTGAACCCAAGGCCTCAGGCATGCTGGGGAAGCATTGTACCACTAATTTGATCCCCAACCCCAACACCTAAAATTTTAAATACTACATTTTGAAAACAAAATCTTGCCATTATGGTTAAGGAAGTATTTTTCCCATGCTGTTGGTTTCCTGGCGGTGTCTTGTTGCTAATAGAACCATTGGGGAGGAAATTCATTGCGTCTTCTGTTGTGGACAGAGGAACTAGAGTTACCTCCCAAAGGTACCCCATCCCAACCATTTACCATTTCTCGGGTAAAGAACGGAATATTATTCACAATCCCTCAATACTGTCTATAAGCAGTAGATAAAATTCTAGTAAATCTACCTAAGTTCAATCCTACTCTTCTTTTTTTTTTTTTTTTTTTTAGGTACTTCAGGCTCTTGTGTGCCTTAGTTTCTCTAGTAAGGGGTAAGAATGGTGACTACATCACAGGGATTAAAAGATAAACACTAATTCATTTATTACCGAAAAGCTTGTAGTACTGGGTCTAGCCCATATTAAGAGCTTAGTTAATCGTGGTTGCTCTTACTATGTGGTTGAGACTGCAATGGTTCTGCTCAGCATTCCCACAAACATGTGGATACAAACCAAGGATAGATGGCCTTGACTTAGAAATAAGCTATCCCTGGATTCCCACTAGGGGGCAGTAGAGCCCCACTTGTTTTAGGAGAACACCACCAAATTCCAGAGCTTTCCTACATTGTTGCTGAAAAGTTGCCTTTCAAACTTTAAGTGGCCTCTAGCCTAGTGATCCCCATAAAAGAGTGACAAAGGTAGCCAGAAAAGCTCCATGAACTACTACAATTAAGAAACAACAAAAGTTCCTTCTCTATCCAGCTGTGACTTTGACAGTGGGGATGTCTGCTCAGGTGAATCACCTGAGCCAGATGTAGCCTCCTGCCCCCATTCTTTGATCCTTACCTTGACCAGCTTGCTTGAGGAATTCGCCCCATCTTTGGCTGTTAACTCCCAGGACCAGGAAGCAAAAAACGATGCTAATCAAAAGCTTCATTTTGCTGCAGAGTCAAAGAAACACAACCTAGAATGATTCGTGTTTTGGGAGGGATTTTTATATTTTGTAATGTTGATTCATCATTGCATTCCAATAATAACCTCAATCAATTTTACACACAAACATGTGTGTGTGTGTGTGTGTGTGTGTGTGTGTGTAGATAGATGAGAGGTAAATAGGTTTTCAAAAGGTTTGATTCTTCATTTTCATCAATCTTATCAGAATCCAGTGTCTTAGAGATTGCAATACACTGTTAGAATAAACTACTTCCCATTTCAGTCATTCCTCATCAGCCCTAAACCTCCACTATATAGGAAATTTCCAAATAAGCATTTGGGGATTTTGATACATTCCTCTCTGTAATATGAGATGAGGTAAATCATCAATAAATATTAATATAATGCCTATTGTAACCACCACTGAATTCACACGGATGCACACAACAAAACTCTACTCTGAAAAGTATTCACATCTGGTGAATTTTAATTATCAGAATATTAGTTTTAGGAAGGATGTAGAGAGAGAAAGCTGAGATGCAGCACAAGAACACTGGTGGAAAAAGAGAATTGTCAGAGTAAAATGGTTGAAAAGTTCTAACACCTCACCCTGGGCTGTGGTTCCTGCTGAGTGAAGCTGCAGCTGCTGCCTGTGCCACCTGTTGGAGAGATGTGGCTGGTATTTATATACTGGCACTTTCTAATGTAGCAAACCTCTTCTCCCTCTTGCACAATCCCTTTTGGTCAGAATCCAGCATCCAGATGTTTCTTCACACATACKGTCTTGATTTTCCCAGATGATGCAATCTGACAACTTTCAGAAGTGTAGCAAGTTGGGGTTTTCTACCTATTTCCCATATTACTACTGACTGGCAAAGTTTTTCTCCCTCTACATAATAATGTACTGACAATTTGATGTAAAGGGTAGTCAATATTGGAAAAATAGCTTTGATCTTGCGAAGAATGTAAGAATACAGAGTAAATGGAACAGCTGAGCTGGTTCCACCAAAAGGGACATGAACTGGGACTTAGGGTACAGGAGTAGGTAAAGAAAAAAATAGACAACCCAGGAAAATAAAACTGTTAGCATCCATGTGGATGTTTTCAGCACTGAGAAAAGAAATCTTCCAGATGCCAGTGTATTTGTGATGAGTTGCTATGGAAGATCACATGGCAGGTTATATCTGAAGGATGCTATAATCCAGGAATGTTGAACAGTAGTATAGAAATTTGCTACAAAGTCATGTAGATATGATACGTGATAAAGATGGTCAGAAAATGGCCCACTGGCTACTAATTATCAAAGTAGTAGATTCAGGAAGGCATCAGAGAGAGCTGGGATGCAGCACAAGAATGCTGGGAGGGTGCTGTTGTAGTCAGGAAAGCAAGACTGTGCTTTATTATATAAGTTTAGTAAGAGTATTTGGGGAAGAACCTTCATGCAGATGCTATCAAGGGACTATAATCCACGGTCTTCTCATTTATCCCATCCCTACCCAGCTGTGGGATCTGCCCTTCCAGCATCATCTGAAGCTTGAGGGCATGGAGAAACCCCTCCAGAGACAGTTTCAGAGAACTGCATCTGCTTTATAGAGCAGCAAAAATAGCTTTTATAGTGGATATATGCTAACTTACATACAATAGTCATGATAGGCCAGAGGTGATAAACAACATATATTACAGGAGTCCAGACACCAAGAGTTCAGAAACTGCCACACAGGCTGGCCTTGTACCAACAGGGGAATAACTTCCTGTGACAGGAACAAGGAAATTGTGCTTGCCGGTGTTCTGACAGCACTTTGTCCCAAAACATTGTGTTCTAYGTTAGGACTTCCCTGCTGCACAATGAGCAAGGTAAGCAGTCCTCCATGAGGACCAGAATCAAGCCCACCAATACCTATCCCTTAATCCAAATGGAAAATTTTAATGACAATTAGATTTTCCTAGAGAAGAAAGAATAACATGTGTGTGATGGGGCAGAGATGACGTGGGAACCCAGAGGACATCAGAACTGGTCCTTCTCACGTAGAAACCAAGGCCCAGCCCAGGTTGTGATAGCTCAGGATTTTTGCCTGGAATGTTTGCTGGGAGAAAAGAAAGTGGGCTTTGCATTAGAGATACTAGTAATCTCCAAGGCCGGTGCAAGCAAATCATGGAGACTTGATAGAAGAGATATTGGAAGATGATATATAACAACTAGTAAGGAGATGGGACTTACACTGGTTACATCTAGTAACCCAGAGAAGAATGAAGGTGAAATGCTTTCAATTTTGTTAGAAAACTGAAGGAGTTACGAGTTGGATATTAGAAAGAGGATGCAGAATGAAGCAAATCAACTCGAGATAAAGGAAATCAGGCAAGGATTGACACCACGCTAGAGAATCATTGTCTTAAGTTTAGAATCTGCTGAAATTAGGGATGATGTCTTTTTCTAGGTCTGGGCCTCATTTTAATTTTTTTAGGCACAATGAGATGAAAGTTATAAGATAGATACCTATCAAAGAATTTTTCCTGTCCCTTTGGTTCTTATCCAAAGCAATGATAAACAATATTTGAGTAGTCCCTACACAAATTCCATTCCTTGGAAAGGTGAGATTCCCTATAGTTCAAGTAAGCTCCAGGTTGTCTTGGCTCACTTGGTCCTAGGAGTGAACAGGGAGAGAGAATGGAGAGGAGGAGTGTTGTCAACTACCCACAGTCAAGTCATGGGAGACCGCTTCATAGGGGAGGACTTATTATATCCAGACCCCTTTTTTCCTACTTTCCTTGGAATAGAAATTGTGAGCCAGCGATAGTCACAATTATTTTACTCCCTTAAGACCCTTTGACGTTGGAAAATCACTCTCTACTTTTTCACTCATTCAAGTGCTTCTCCTCTCTGATAAAAAGAAAGCAAGCCAGGAAAATTTCTAGGTGCCAGGAGGAACTCTTTAGAGACTTTCATAAGCATTGAATGTTCTCTTCCTTTATTACTTAATGTGTTCTGCTTCCCAGAAAGGGACACACAGTTTTTTGCAGTGCTGAGCTTAGAATAATTTACACAAGGGCAGTCAGCTATTTTCTCTTGTTTTTTCCTGAAAAAGGGGAGTTTTTTGAGTCTCTAGGCCTGCAGGGAATTTCCCAAGACTCCTCCAACAAGCCAAGTGTCCTAGTTTGAATAGAGTAATCTCTGTTGATGCCGACTTTCCCAGCTTACATATTAACGTAGCACCTCCTCTCACTCTAAAAAATAACTGGGTGTGAATAATAAATTAGTAGTAATTTTTCACTAGGAACCATGTGTGACCAGGCTGCTTGAGAGGCCTAAGCCACACATTTTTTTCTCTTACCATTAATTTAAGTGGAAGAAGAGAACAATAGAGCTTAATTCTATTAAAAACTAGAAAAACAAAAATCAGAAAAAATAAAGAAGTCCACAGTAACATGGCTAAGAATGGCATTTTAGACATAAGCCCCAGTCTTTGAGGGTCAGCAGGAAGAATGATGGGAAACTCCTTAAATATAAGTAAGTAAAATAATGATCCTACTTTATAGAGTTGTGAGATTAAATGATTGATACTAAAAGGGGTTTGAATAAGTTATGAATGCACATAAAGCACTTAATGAATTTTAGCTCTTCCAGATTAACCAAGGAAACAYACAATACTTTCCAGAAAGCAGAAAGGTTAGTAAAAATATTAGTATCAAGGCAACACATTATGACCAATCAGAATTTCAGTTTTACTACTTTTTTATTCCACATTTTTATTGGTGTCTTACACTTGTACATAATAATGGGATTTGTTGTTATATATTCGTACAATTCTTTTTAAAAGGCTGAATTGAGACCCTGCATCTACTAGAAGAAAATGTAGTAGTGCCAATTTAGGAACCAACTTCCTCAACAAGACTCCTAAAGCACAAATAAATAAATAAAGACTCAATAAATGGCCTAAGTCACACATTTTTACAAAATGGGAGAAAATCTTTGCCACCTGCRCCTCAGAGTATTAATCGCCAGGATATAGAAAGAACTCAAAAAACTTAGCACCAGGAGCTGGGGTTGTGGCTCAGCGGTAGAGTGCTTGCCTCGCACGTGAGAGGCCCTGGGTTCAATCCTCAGCACCACATAAACATAAATAAATAAAATAAAGATATTGTGTTCAACTACAACTAAAAAATAAATATTAAAAAAAACTTAGCACCAAAAAACCCAAATAGCCCAATAATAAATGGTCAAAGGAACTGAACAGGGAGTTCAAGAAATACAAATGGTCAACAAATATATAAAAAAATTTTCAACATCTCTAACAATTAGAGGAATGCAAATTAAAAATACCCTGAGATTCTTTCTCACTCCAGCCAGAATGGCAATTAACAAGAATACAAGTAACAATAAATGTTGGCGAGGATGTGGGGAAAAGGTACACTCATACATTGCTGGTGGGACTGCAAATTAGTGCAACCATTCACTGTGGAAAGCAGTATGGAGATTCCTCAGAAAACTTGGAATGGAACCACCATTTGACCTAGTTATCCCACTCTTTCGCTTAAATCCAAAGGTCTTAATATCCGCATACTACGGTGACACAGCCACATCGATGTTTATAGTAGCTCAATTCACAATAGTTAAGCTATGGAACCAACCTAGGTGCCTTTCAACAGATGAACGGATGAAGAAACTGTGGTATATTTACATAATGGAATATTACTCAGCCATAAAGAAATATGAAATCATGGCATTTACCAGTAAATGGAGGGCACTGAAAACTTTCCTGCTAAGTGAAATAAGCCAAACCAAAAAACCAAAGGTCAAATCTTCTCTCTGATATGTGGATGCTAACACATAATAAGGGTAGGGGAGGGAAGAATAGAGATACTTTGGATTAGACAAAGGGGAATGAAGGGAGGGAGATGGAATTAGGAAAGAGCAGAATGAATCAGACATAACTTTCTATGTACATATATGAATACATGACCAGTAAAACTCCACAGCATGTACAACCACAAGAACGGGATCCTAATTAGAATAAGTTATACTCCATGAATGTATGTCAAAATATGCCCTACTGTCATGTATATCTAAAAAGAACAATAAATAAATAAAATAAAATAATCCAAGTCTGTATTATATATTTCAAAATTTCTAAAAGAATTGATTTAAGTGTTTTCATTACAAAAGAAGAAGAAGGAGGAGGAGGAGGAGGAGGAGAAGATAGGTAGGTGAGGTGATTTGGTATGTCAAATAACTTTAACAAACAAAAGGAAAGGGCATAGTATAAAAAGTGGACCTGTTGTTATCTCTCTTTCCTTGTATGGATTAAAGCTGAGGGATCTTCATCCAAAAGCTTGACTGGATCCCCTTTGATTGATGGCTGTAAATCTCCTGGTTTTTTGTTTGTTTGTTTATTGTGAAAAATTGACTTGTTTAAAAATTTAATTTAATTATGTGGTACCTAGTATGAGAACACCATTTAGATTTGGTCTGGTCTGTTAGGGCCTGATGCAGGATCTCAGTCCAAAACAATGGTCTCCTCTAAATTGTACTGAACCATTGAATGAGCAGCTACTGCAAATACGAAACCTCAGCACCAGAAAGGCTGGAGTCCCCAGTCTATATCACTCAATTCACTGAGGGATTAAAAGAAAATGTCACATTGAAACAACAGAAGAAATGAAGAACTCCCTGTGTAAGC